AGTTCTGTTTGGGGACGCCTGGGTGGCTCAGTCAGGTAAGTGTCTGCCATTGGCTCAGGTCATGATCCCAGGGTCCTGGGATTGAGCCCCATATTGGGCTCCCTGCTCAGCAGAGACCCTGCTTCTCCTTCTCCCTCTGCTGCTCTCCCTGCTTGTGCTTGTTCTCTCTCTCTCTCTCTGTCAAATAAATAAATGGAATCTTTAAAAAAATTTTTTTTAAAAAAAGAAGTCCTGTTTGTTCCTTTTCAGTTTTGCTGTCCCTTAAAATTTCCTCTTCCTTGCGATCTTTTTGGGCTTGTCTTTTATTTCTTTAAACAGAGTAAGCATAATTTTATAGTGTGAGTCCATTAATTCTAGCATCTGAATTCTTTGGGGGTATCCATCTGTGTCCAATTAGGAAAATAGAAACCATTTAGATGTTTAAATTAGAGAAAGATGTAATAAAGTATTTGCAAAGGTGCTGGAAGGGTTGGGGTGGGGCACTTGTTACCTGGTTGCTCCTGGGCTAGCTGCTGGAGGCATGGCTGCTGGAGCCAGGAAATTTCCTGTAGCTGCAATCTGTGCGGTTTCCTGCCTCTCTTGTCTTTTCCCACTCCCTTTTAATTCCCCACCAGTGCTTCCCTTGTACAACTTAGCAAGACTCCAGCTGGCAACACGTCTTGTATGTGTAGTTTCAGACCTCGAACCCTCTGCAACAGAGGCGGAAAAGAGCTGAATACCAACAGACCGATCTGGAACTGGGTGTATGCCATCTGTTGTTTTTGCTGTTGGTTCTTGCTCCCAGAGTCTTGTTTGTCTTTGTGTGCCTGGTTATTTTTGGGTACTGGCATTTCAAAATTACTTGTAATGATTTGAAGCCTTGAGAAACTTCATTTGCTTGTTAGATCCCTGGGAGCTCTACCTGTCGGGGATATGGGATTACAAAAACAACTGAATACTAGAACTTTCTTCAGGTTTGGCCTAGTAGAAATGATGATCTTAAATTACCGAGACACCTGGTTTTTTCCTTTTAGTAATAATTGATTATTGGTGTTGCAGTTGCTTCATTGGTTCAGGAGGTATTTGAGACCCTTCTTTATGCTAAATGCTGGGGTGAGTCAGTGAAGTGAAACAAATTTGGGGAGATGGTTGTGTACTTCTGGGTGATACAGACTTAAGTCCGGTGTACTGTGGGAATGTGATGAGCTTTGTGGGTAGATAGAGCAGGACAAGGGAAGTTGGGAACATGGATGAGAGGACTGCAGTTGTCCAGCTGTCACTGCGAAGGTGACATTTAAATGAAGTGAACTAGACGGACATTGGCAGAAGAGTGGAGCCAAACCCAGTGCCAGTGCAGATGCCTTGAAAAAGGCAGGGTGGGAGGCTGGTGTGGGGGGCAGGGGGAGTGAGGGCAAGTAGAAGAGGGGAAAGGAGCAGAGTGAGTGGGGCCTTGAAGGGATCCTAGTTGAAAGTGAGCTGAGGGAGCAATTTCAAAGGAGTGAAATGATCTGGCTTCTGTTTCAGGAGGATCGCTGACTGCTGTGTTGATTGGAATGCATTTTCTTTTTTTTTTTTTTTTAAAGATTTTATTTATTTATTTGAGAGAGAATGAGATAGAGCATGAGAGGGGGGAGGGTCAGAGGGAGAAGCAGTCTCCCTGCTGAGCAGGGAGCCCGATGCAGGACTCGATCATGGGACTCCAGGATCATGACCTGAGCCGAAGGCAGTCGCTTAACCAACTGAGCCACCCAGGTGCCCCTGGAATGCATTTTCTAATGAAGTAAAAAATTAATTGGGATTTCAATAGCAAATGATTTTTTTTTTTTTAAGATTTTATTTTCAAGTAATCTCTACACCCAACTTGGAGCTCAGACTTACAACCCAGAGATCAAGAGTTGCATGCTCTACTGACTGAGCCAGCCAGGCGCCTCTTTTTCTTGTCCTTTAAATGCTTACATATATAGGACATAAGAATATATATATTTTCGTCTACCGTGGAACCATTTTGACTGTTATAGTTGTTTTTTCATGAAGAGAGTTGTTCTAAGTCTTAAAAGTACCACTTTTTTTATACCAATGTATCTTTTTATTTTTTTATTTTTTTAAAGATTTTATTTATTTATTTGAGAGAGAGGATGAGAGGAGAGAGAGAGCACATGAGAGGGGGGAGGGTCAGAGGGAGAAGCAGACTCCCTGCTAAGCAGGGAGCCCGATGCAGGACCCGATCCCGGGACTCCAGGATCATGACCTGAGCTGAAGGCAGTCACTTAACCAACTGAGCCACCCAGGCGCCCAATATACCAATGTCTCTTTTTATTATAAACTTTAAAATGTTTTAATTTTCAACCAGTGGTTTTAGTATTATTTTAGGCCATGCCTTAGAATCTCATTTTATAGCACTTTTCTTCCCCCAAACTCCAGTATAATGCCCAGAATATCCCCTGGAATTCAAATTTGGTGGTCACCTGAAAAGTTTCTATAGTTGCCACAAGGTTTTATGTCTGTGCCACTTAGGTGTCCCCTGGGCTGCAGTGCTGAGAAGAGCTCTAGAGGAGGGCTAGGGACCGCCACTGACTGTGTGTTTCTCAGTTATACTTGTATGCTGAGAAGCGTTTTGACGATTTCCAGGTATAAAGAGCAGAACTAGTGGGTAATTAGTCTCTGAATGATCAGTCTGATGCTTTAATAGAGTATATGCAGGGAGGAGGGAATGCAATGCAGGCTTTCTCTCCCATCTCATTTATTTCAACATTTTGTTTTAAATTGAATTTAATTGAAATGGGCTAGCCAAATTCTTAGTTAATGGCTTGTAGAAATAAAAAAGGAAAGTAAGCAATTCAGACAAACCCTTGCTATTGGTGTTGATATAGTAGTTATTCTTTGGATATATTTTTAATTTTTTTTTTTAAGATTTGTTTTTTAATAAAGTTGTTTTTTTTTTAATTTATTTGACAGACAAAGCAAGAGGAGGAACACAAGTAGGGGGAGTGGGGAGAAGAGGGAGAAGCAGGCTTCCTGTGGAGCAGGACCTTGGGATCACGACCTGAGCCGAAGGCAGATGCTTAAGGACTGAGCTACCCAGGCGCCCCTGGATATATATTTTTAAAAGATGTATTTATTTTAGAGAGAGCGAGCGAGTGAGCAAGCACAGGGGGTGGGGGGGAGGAGCAGAGGGAGAGAGAGGATCTGGAGCAGACTCCCTGCTGAGTAGGGCTCTATCTCACAACCTGAGATCATGACCTGAGCTGAAATCAAGAGTCCATAGCTTAACCAACTGAGCCACCCAGGCACCCCTTATTTGGATATTTTGTTATTATTTTACTTTTTCCTGAGGAATGAACATAGAAACATTATCAAGATACAAATGTACAAGTCAGTGATTTATCTCAAAAACAAATGCCTATAACTCATACATTAATGGTGGGAATGTAAAATGGTGCAGCTGCTTCGGAAAGCCATTTGGCAATTCCTCAAAAAGTTAAACAGAGTAACCATATAACGTAGCAGTTCTACTCTTAGGTTTATATCCAAGGGAATTAAACATATGTCTACATGAAAAACAAGCAACTGTTCATAGCAGTATTATTCATAATAGCTAAAAAATGGAAACAACCTAGATGTCCCAGAGTGGATAAACAACAGTGTGGTCTGTCCATACATAAGGGAATATCATTCATCCCCAAAAAGGAGTGATGAAGTGCTGATACATGCTCAGCAGGGGTGGACCTTGAAAACATATTAAGTAAAAGAAGGTCATGTGATTCTTTTGCATTAAATGTTCAGAATAGGTAAATGCATGGAGACAAAGTAGATCACTGCCAAGACTAGGGGTAGGGTCAGGGGATAGGACTGGGGAATGACTGCTAACTGGTGTGAGATTTCCTTTTGAGGTGATGAAAATGTTCTGGGATTATAGAGTTGTGATAACTGCACAACTCTGTTAATAATACCAAAACCCATTGAATTACACACTTTAAAAGGGTGAATTTTTATGGAATGTAAATTATATTCTCAGCTATTCTTGTAACAAAACAAAATAACACATCTGTGTGTGTTTGGGTTAACCGAGAATATAGACCGTACCCCAGAAGGCCTCCCCCCACCCTTCTCCCTTCCAGTCAATGCCCCAAGTTATTCTTGGGGGGAAAAAACAGCAGCTGTTTCTACTGCTACTGTTCGCTTCTCAGAAGAAGCCATTGTTTTAGACTAAGCATGAAGCTTTATGCTCTCAGCGTTTGCCAGGCCTTGCAGGACACATTTTGTAGTGTACCATTTTAATCAAATGCTGCTCTGTGATTTTATGGTACCTGTGGACCGACCTTTCAGAACAGGTAGCTATGCACTCTTGACTTGCTCTTTTTTTTAAGATTTAAAAAAAAAATTTCAGAGAGTGAGAGAGAGAGCAAGCGAGCATGGCAGGGGGGAGGGTCAGAGGAAGAAGCAGATTTCCCGCTTCTTCCGCAGGGAACCCAGTGGGGAACTCCATCCCAGGACCCTGGGATCATAACCTGAGCCAAAGGCAGACGCCTAACCGACTGAGCCACCCAGGTGCCCAACTTGCTCTTTTTAAAATAGAAATAATACGGAGTTTAAAGAAGTAGCATGTATATTAGATCTCTTGCTTAATCAGTAGCATGGACTTTATTAACTATGAAATACTTTTTATTTTATCTGCCTCATCATAGCTGCTCCCCCCCTTCTCCCCATACCCACAACTAGAGATACGGGTTATTAATACTATCTTTTGGGAAGCCAAATTAACATTAGTAGTTTTTATTCTACATGACATTTTTGAGCTTAAATTTTATTTTTATTTATTTTTTAATAAAAATTTCATATTTAAGTAATTGTTACACCCAGCATGGGGCTCAAACTCACAACCCTGAGATCAAGAGTTGCACACTCCACCAACTGAGCTAGCCAGGCACCCCGAGCTTAAATTTTAAAACTGCCTTTACATGTTTGTATATGCTTTTAAATATTTTAAACTCAAGGTCAGTGTTGATTCTTTTGCCTTTCAGCGATGTCTTGGCATTGCCCATTTTTAAGCAGGAAGATTCCAGCCTTCCATTGGACGGTGAGACTAAACACCCACCCTTTCAATATGTGATGTGCGCTGCCACCTCGCCAGCAGTGAAACTGCACGATGAGACTCTCACTTACTTGAACCAAGGTGAGTATGGCTGTGTCATGCTTTGATGTAAGAATTGACACATAGCTAAAGCGTTTTGGCATTACAGCCTAGTTTATGGGTAATAATTTAAAATTAGATTATCTTTCTTAAATTTGACAACTTTAGTTAACAAAAATCGTAGGCATTTACTGTTAGCCAACAAAGTAATAGTTTGTGAAAACTGATTTGCATAAAGAGGGCCCGTGCAATAAGATTTATTACAGGGTTTTTCAGACAAAATCCAAAGGAGGAGCAAGTAGGAAAGGATGTCAGTTATTTTTAGGAACACTGGTTTCAATATGGAACTTGAGACTGAATCAAGGAACCTGGGTCTCAGGCCTGAAGCAGGTTTGTGCTGAAAATAGACAAGCTGCACCAAGATGGAGTCTGTGGCTAAAATAGATCGTGTCAGATTTTGTCTACTCGTATCTTGTCCGCATTTTATGAGAATATGCTGTTTTGGTGATATGAAAGTGAGAGCAGGCAGAGTGGAAGATAGAGATGTGGGGGTAGAATATACTGTTGGAAATTATAAGGGATTTTTTTGAGGTTCTCTTAGCAGTTTGGGCATAGGCCAGTGTGACTAACCAAATTAAACAGAAGTACTTTGTTACACAGCTATGAATTTGTTGGATACATATACCGAAAGCATGTTGCACTCTTATTTTTAAACAAAATCGGAACTTTATTCTTACAAAAATAGTACATCCTCTCACTGTAGAAAGATTGAGAAATAAGAGGTAAAGCTGGAAATTGACTGTGGTTGCATTTCACCAAGATAACTGGTTTATGTTTTAGGTATATTTTCTTGTGTGTCTATCTACTTTATTTCAACAAAATTAGAATTAATATTTGTTCATTTAAGAGCATATTGTAATTATTTTTCTGTCATTAAATAAAATATTTCTTTGAACGTTTGGAAACAGCTATGGATTTTAGACTGTTACGATTAGTATTCTGAAATGCGGAAGAATAACTTAGCTTTTCATTTGATATATAAATGTAGGATCTGTGAGGTTTTACCCCAGTTTATTCTACCATAGCACCTGTACAATACCCTAACTCTGTTGTTAACATTGTTTGGGTAGGCATTCTTTTTTCTTTCTTTTTTTTTTTTTTAAAGATTTTATTTATTTTTTTGACAGAGAGAGTCGCAGCGAGAGAGGAAACACAAGCAGGGGGAGTGGGAGAGGGAGAAGCAGGCTTCTTGCCGAGCAGAGAGTCCGATGCGGGGCTCGATCCCACGACCCCGGGATCATGACCTGAGTCGAAGGCAGATGCTTAATGACTGAGCCACCCAGGTGCCCCTTGGGTAGGCATTCTGTCGTTTGAGACTTAAGTGTCCTTTTTTTGAGAGAAAGAGAGCAAGCTAGAGAGAACATGAGTGGAGGGGGGAGGGGCAGAGGGAGAGGGAGAAGCAGTCTCCCTGTTGAGCAGGGAGCCCAGTGAAGGACTCCATCCCAGGACCCTGGGATCCTGACCTGAGCCGATGGCAGACGCTTAACCAACTGAGCCACCCAGGCATCCCTTAAGTGTCCTATTTGAAAGTACTTTAAAGGGGCGCCTGGGTGGATCAGTCAGTTAAGCGTCTGCCTTTGGCTCAGGTCATGATCTCAGGGTCCCAGGATTGATCCCCAAGTCAGGCTCCCTGCTCAGCAGAGAGTCTGCTTCTCCCTCTGCTCCTTATCCCGCTTATGCTCTCTCTCAAATAAATAAAGAAGATCTTAAAAAAAAAAAAAAAGTACCTTGAGTTCATATGGCAAGATTTGTTTTAGATGTAAAAATATCAGAAGTAACCATTTAGGGGCTTGGATACTCACTGTAGCTTTATTTCTAACGACAAGGAAATGACCTGTATTTCTCTTACTTGGGGAATAGTTGAGTAAGTTCTGTTATTTGCATACCATGGGACGAATGAGTGTACACACACACCCCTGTTTAAGGGAATGCTTTGGATGTGTCTATCTGTTGGCCTGGGGAAATAGCCGTAATTTATCACTGTTATTATTAAACTGGAAAAAGATATCTCATGTTGATAAAAGTTGCAATCCACCATCTGTAGTAATGATATATTAGATTGACATTCACTGAGTGCTTACTATGTATGAAGCCTTGTACTAAGTACTATACGTGTGTTATATAGTTCCCACAATAACTCTAGGAGAAGTTTTATTAATCCATTTTAGGGGTACCTGGCTGGCTCAATTGGTAGAATATGCGACTTCTTTTTCTTTTATCTTTTTCAGAGATAGAGCATGAAGTGGGGGAAGAGGGAGAGAAAGAATCCTAAGCAGGCTCCATGTCTAGCACAGAGCCCTATGTGGGGCGCAATCTCACGACCCTGAGATTATGACCTGAGCCAAAATCAAGAGTTGGACTCTTAACGACTGAGCTACCCAGGTGCCCCTGAGGTCGAACATGTGACTCTTCATCTCAGGGTCATGAGTGCAAGCTTATTTAAAAAAGATCCATTTTCAGATTTATAAAACAAGCTGAGAGCAGTTGATTAACTTGCTCAGTGTGAATTTGGCCAAGCTTAGATTTGAGAAAAAGGAAATCTTAAGTGTATAACTCAGTGAATTTTTATATATATTATTCCCTTGAAACTACTCTCTGTGTCCAGTATTTCCAGCACCCCAGCAGGCTCCCTTGTATTCCCCTCCCAGATTTTACTCCAGCTTGACTATAACTAGTATAAGTGCAGGTGATTTATTGCACTTGACTCTGCTCACTGCAGTATTTTTTTTTCACAGAGCACGAGCATGGTAGGGGGGCAAAGGGAGAGGGACAAGTAGACTCCCCACCAAGCTGGGAGCCCGAGGTAGGGCTTGATCCCAGGACCCCAGGAACATGACCTGAGCCGAAGGGAGACACCCAGTGAACTGAGCCACCCAGGGGCTCTTGCTCACTGCAGTATTTTTTTTTTTTTAAAGATTTTAAAGATTTTATTTATTTATTTATTTGAGAGAGAGAATGAGATAGAGAGAGCATGAGAGGGGGGAGGGTCAGAGGGAGAAGCAGACTCCCTGCTGAGCAGGGAGCCCGATGTGGGACTCGATCCCGGGACTCCAGGATCATGACCTGAGCCGAAGGGAGACACCCAGTGAACTGAGCCACCCAGGGGCTCTTGCTCACTGCAGTATTTTTTTTTTTTTTAAAGATTTTAAAGATTTTATTTATTTATTTATTTGAGAGAGAGAGAGAAACAGCATGAGAGGGGATGGAGTCAGAGGGAGAAGCAGGCTCCCCTCCCCCCCCGAACCAGGAGCCTGCTGCGAGACTCGGTCCCAGGACTCTGGGATCATGACCTGAGCCAAAGGCAGTCGCTTAACCAACTGAGCCAGCCACCCAGGCGCCCTCACTGCAGTATTAATGATGAATCTTTTCGTGGCTGTAGAATATATCTTTTAATTTCTTCATCTTTTAAGAAAAAAGTGGAAAAGTGAACTGCATATGTAGAAATATTTTTTAAAAACATATGAATGGGGTGTCTGGGTGGCTCAGTTGGTTAAGTGTTCAACTCTTCATTCTGGCTCTGGTCATAGTCTCAGGGTTGTGAGATCAGGCCATGTGTTGGGCTCCCCACTCAGGGAGGAGTCTGCTTCTCTCCCTGTCCCTCTCCCCCTTCCCTTGCTTGAGCACATGCATGCGCGCGCTCTCTTTCTCTCTCTCTAAAATAAATAAATCTTTAAAAAATACCATTTGACTAACCATTAAGAAAACACATTAGAGTAATCATAAAGGGATTATTTTACATCTTTTTTTTTTTAAAGATTTTATTTATTTATTTGAGAGAGAGAATGAGATAGAGAGAGCATGAGAGGGGGGAGGGTCAGAGGGAGAAGCAGACTCCCTGCTGAGCAGGGAGCCCGATGTGGGACTCGATCCCGGGACTCCAGGATCATGACCTGAGCAGAAGGCAGTCGCTTAACCAACTGAGCCACCCAGGCACCCCTATTTTACATATCTTTTAAAAGAATTGTAAAACCTTTAATATAATATATAAGTATCAAATATACATTTTACAGTGTGTATAGTTCTTTCACAGACTTGTCTCCTAGCATTTATCACTTTGGAAGGCAGCTATGCTAACCACTATACCACCAATGCTCCTAGCATTTATCACTTTGACAAAAGGTTCTGGACCCATGGTTTTTCATGAATCCCCTAAGATTGTTTTCAATTTTTTGTAAATGTGTATGTTTCTAAGGAGAGGATCCATAGCTCTTCCCAGAGCCAGGCAAGGTTTGGCTTGGGGAGAGGTGTGGCTGTGTCTTTCACCCCATCTCTTAAGCTGCGGAAGCAAAGAGAGGTCTAGCTAGGCTCAGCAAAGTACCTTTAGATGATGGGGCTCTCTTTTCAAAGGAAATGTTCTCAGTAGTGCATGTGCAGTGTTGATACTTTTTTATAGAAACTTTTCCTGCAATATATAGTATAAAGAGAATCAGGGTTAGGTATGGAAAATAATAATGAGACTCGATTAATTTTATCTGGAATCCAGTAAAACCCCGTGAATATTTTTTCAGCTGGAGTGACATTGTCATGGCAGTTCTTGTGAAGTCTGCCTTGGTGACACCATTTTAGTATTGATGGTTTGACTAAGTATTGACATAATTTACTGCTTATGTTTTTAGGAATCAGATTGGCACTCACTTTTCAGGCTCATGAATCCATTTTCTTGCATTCAGATGAATTCTTCAGTTCCACCAAGGAAAATGACTTAACATGGCAATGTTGCATTATCAAAAAAGGACGTAAAAATTCTGTAAGAAGGGATTAGACAGGGTACTTGAAGGTGTCATTGTTAGCACAAGTTTATTCTTTTTTAACTCACATGTGAATTTATCTGCATTCATTCTAGTACACGAGAGGAAAATTGGAAATAATGGTGATGATTAATGAAAGCACAGTTCTCTCCATGTTATGATTTTATGAAAACTTCGGAGGGAGTAATTACTCCTACAGTTATCTATTTGAATTATGGACCATGCCGTACTTTT